TCACCTTACTTAGTTGGTCCCACATTCTATGTACTTATATTAATTGTTATCCTAGTTGTTAGAAGGGGCATTGACCCTGTGACTTTTAAAGAGTTTGGACTTCCACTGAAGTGTCATAATTCTAAATGAAGAGCCTTTACCTATTACGTTTGAGTTTGAAATTTTTAATGATTTTTCACAGTTGGCGTATTTCAGCAAGGTTGTTTTGTACGGGATGAGGTTGCTTATCTCATGCTCAACTCTCCTTCTCCATGTAGTCTTGGGACCATCAGTAACATTGAAAGGCCTATATACAGAATTATTTGATGATATTACTGTCATTTTCTGTATTGGTTATGAAATTTCCAATGTGTTTCGGTGTTTATGTCGAAGAATAACGCTTTCCGACAACGGGGTAACATTTAGTCTGAACGGTTTTCTGGACGACTATGTAGCGTTCTGGTACGTGCATCGGCTATTCATCCTACTTGTAAGTCCAGCGGTTACAAATGTCGTTACGTTTCTAAAATTATGAACATCATTTGCGTCAATAATCCTAATTCTTTTAACACTGGTGCTTTATTTACGGACACTGACTGATCTGCTTGAATTTCTTCTGAACCCATCTCTCAGTTTGAAAAAAGAATGCATTTTCCATCGTTCCGATCTTCGAAATCCCAAGAACAAATATTTCAACTAAATTGCTCTCAATCAGAAATCCCAAAGTATACATAATAAAAATTAAAACTAAGTAAAATACAACACAAGTGATCAGCTGCAATCAATGAAATGATAAAGATGTTTCGATGGCTACTAATTCAAGAGGAAGCTAGCAGTTATAGCCATACGAAATGTCTCATACTAAATGATAATTATATGTTTTCAATGCTTTAGGGTCTTTGATATTGTTCATTATGTCCGGCTGTATGTAATCCCTTTTGTCCACCTTTTATATTTTTATATAGGATGATATAGAAACCATATTATTGAGGCACAATGAGTAAGATGCAGTCTAATGATTTCACTGTTCTCTGGCTTGATTTTATAACTTTCACAATTTTGACAATCCATGTTGTTATGAAGAAGCTTATATAATTCTAGGAGACATTTTTCGTTTTTTTGAGGAGTATAGCTTCCCTGACAGTAAATTTGCTTCGTCTCAACTGCTTGTCAAGATCTAAGTGTTCAAATGTACGTACTGATTGGTCGTTTAATGCTTAAAAGCATGTGGGATAAATGTGTTATATAAATGTATACTGAATCCCTGGAGTATACTATTGAGTTCCTTTTTTTCATTTGGTTCGAAAATTTAAAAAAACGGTTGTGAAAAAAATATGTAGATTGCTGAGTTTTATCACAGTCATGGGCTTATTATAGTCGGTCATCCCTAAAAACCTAGTTTAGCTAGATGGCCGTTAAGTTCTCACCAATTAATAGCTTTGAATGGCAGTTCACGGAATCATGTTGGGAGGGCTTGACCATCGGTGTTCAGTAGTGTCGAGTGTGAGGCAGTTATTGAAAGCAATGGAAGAAAGTCGCTAAATTCTGTGGGTTGCTTGAAATTAGGTAGTAACACTGTTAGCTGCTAGGCTGTTGTTTTAGGGGTTGATCTTTTGTTTTCAGTATTTATTCGTCGCTTCATCCCTAACTTCATTTTTGCTTTACATCTCTTTCCTCGTTCCACCTTCCAAAATGGCCGAAATTGTTCAAACCATCTCACTCCAGCTGTTTATGTCTGCTTTCTCAAGCAATTGTAAACACACTCCCGAATAGTTCTGTTTAAATTTCCGAAATAAATACCAGGCTTGCTGATCTAATCAGTCACTCTAACAGTACGGCAGCGGCTGAACATTCATGTTACTCAATGTTGCTTCATGTTACAGGAGAACAGAAATATTTTACTGAATAAAAAATGTTATATTGAATAACAATAATTACACTGTGTTTTGAATGTGTTTGTTTTACCCAACTTTTGAACTTGCTGTTTGTTTATATTTTCGACTTTGTTTTTGGTTAAGCATTTGGAAGTTTTCGCTCCAGAAATGTAGAAATTTGACCGTTTGTTTTGTAATTGTTATAGTTATTATCAGAACGAGAAATGAGTCGATTGCTTGTATTTTGCAAATAAACTATGGTCCCTAAATTAGAGTTTGATTCTATTGTTATATGGGGTCAGAAGTTACAAGTGGATTGATTTGTGGTGATTCAATAATGAGAGAGAGAAGACCGTGTACGTGACAACTTTCGTGAACTTGCCGAAACATCGAAACTTTGTGGGATTAGCTACCGGTAACTGCAAATCCCTAAGGTGAATGAATTCGAAGTTACAAAGGATGAGTATTGAAACAAGTTAATTTCATAGACAAAATATTGAGCGAAAAAGAATAGAGGAAATTTATTCAAGCTTGCATTTTTCAAGTGCCTTTTTAAGCTGGAGATCAAGCGATCCGATGAAAATACGTAAATTTCATAGGCATATATATATTGTATCGGCAAATAAATCCCCAAAATCAATGGCTCTGTAAGTGTTCGGCATTAGATGCTGACTGCAATAGTTTTAATGGACTCACTTAGCTGAAGGCGCTCGGTTATGCATCCACACCAGATCACGAGTGGAAACGCTGTTTTCAACTTCTCCTGCGATCACTAGCCAGTTTAGATCAGTAACTTCTCGATAAATTGATAACCTATCAAATATATCTTCCAACCTCATGGATCTGACACTTGATTTCACTGATTGGGCACGATTCAATCATAGAAGGTATTTCAGGTTAAAATGTTGTCAAACTACAATATCTGTGGCGACTTCAGAATTATCAAGTCGTCTGTTTTTTAGTGAAGAAATGTGTAGGGCGAATGGTCGTGCAGGACAACAACTTCCTGTACACAGGGAACACATATTACATTATAATTTTTTTATTGGAGGATGATTATTTTGCATACCTTCGCTCACCCTATTCGAAGGACAGATACAATATGTATTTAAGTGTTTCGCAATTTCATTTTTGACTAGAGTGCTGGTTCTTATTGAATAATTCTAGAAATGACTAAACACTACACTTAAAGGAACTAAATGTTCAAACGTCAGTTACAATGGTAATATTCACTGACCTTGCCTTGAAAAACTGCTTGTTATTTTCACTGATTGTTGACACTATGATGTATTCGTTTCCTCTATCAATAATTCTCATCTCAGACTTCCGTCATGTAATCCACAACCTTCTTTCTGTCTCCCTACATATAGTAAAATGACTAGTTTGGTGGTTGAAGATTCACTAATGTTAGCTCCAGCACTGTTGGTAGAAACAACTTCGTCATCTATTTTATATCGATTTAAAATGATCAGAATTTGGGAACTTGCATTCATAACGAACACAAATTATTGTAAAAATGTACTGCAATCCCTTAAATGGTTCACACTGTGTTATTATGTGCGAACATACCAAACCTTGACTACATTAATGTGCAAGCGTTCACACTAGCAGTTGTTACAGTTTTCCAGTTGTGAACTTGACTTTTAGTGTATCCCCAATAACTGTTTGCATACTGCGAATCATGAAATCTGGGTAGGTTCTTCATCTTTAGGTTTTAATAAATCTGAGATTCGCTTAGCTGAATACCATTCATTTGAGTAAAGCCAATTATCCTTCATGTATGAGTGATTGAATCATCAAGCAGTTGCTTCACAACATGGAAACGTCTAGTTGTGATGTAGATTTACTGTGGTTTCAAACAGTAAAAGAACATTCATCACAAAATGATATTATAATGTTCGTCAAAATCGTCATTACTCTGAGTACTAATCAATGGTGAAGTAGTGTTTTATATCTCAAACTAATAATAGATTCGGTTGCTAGAATTGATGTGGTCGGACCACATGAAAACCAAATCTTGGTTGTTCTTCATTAGGAAACTGTCTCATTGATAGTACTGTTATTTCACCATCAGTCCTGTTAATTGACATAAAAAGGATTTTAACAAGCGTTTCTACTGTAAAAATACAGTTCTAGTGAACAAAGTTTCTCCAATTATTTTAGCAAATAACATGATAACGCCTGAAGTCCATAGTGAAGACGCTAATGATTTTTACGGTTTTACAATGCTTTTCCCCATACCACTTTTACAATCGAAAGACACCGATCTAGTTACAACCAGAAATTAGAAACGAAGAAGTTCTAAAATTTACCTGGAAAAAATGTCGACTTTGTTAAGAAGCGTTTGATCATAGCTGGATTGTTGTTGAGAAAGATGCGTGGCACAACCTATTCACTCGTGATTTGGTACAGGTGCGTGACCAAGTGCCTCCATCCAGAGTATGTCCGGTAAAACAAATGACGTCGACGTAAATATTGAGGACATACAGAACTATTCATTTCCAAGATTTATTTACCGCTACGAATGAAACACCGGTAGTTGACTTGTAACACATGGCATAACTCAAGAACACTCAAAAGCATGCATGACATGTTTAAGGGGGTTACAGACAGCATAGTCACTAGGACTTTATAAAGTGCCTGATCACACATAAATGACATCATATAAATGGAAGGAAAATAGACTACATAGGAGTGTGATAAGAGGTGCGATACCTTACGAAAAACTCCTAAGAACACTGAATATGTACTCGTTGTGACACAGAAAAGTAAGAGATAATTTTACAGTGATTCAGATTACAAATTTCCTTATAGATCTACTAGGATACTTACCTCAGTGTATTCTTAACAAAAACTGTGGAGTGAACACTCACAGCTCAAAAGTCAAGTTTAACTGAGTTTGAATGACCATTCAACGACCTTTCCGAAAGAAAGCTTGATATTTTCCTAAAAATTGAGCATATCAACTCAGAGTTTTTTACGGATAATTCTTTAGTTTTAACTGGTTTTATATACTTAGGTCCCTACATGAGCTATAAGTGACTCATTGCCATTAAAAGAAGAATTTAAATAGGCGACCGTCTCTCTTCTTCCCCTCACAATCATTATAACCATTGGGCATTGTAACTTGTTCTTAAGTAGTGGAAATGCACATCAAAAGGTCGCGCGGGCGTTCAGAAGATGTCTAAAAATAGTTCAGCTCCTTCTATAAATGATTTCGTCATGATAAAACCTATAAGCAAAGGTGCTTTTGGGTACTGGATTGTTTTTTATGTAATCTTGGAAGAAAAGTGTTTTTAGGAGCTAAGGCAAACAATATTGACCTCATATACGCAATAAAAATAATGTCTAAAGAGGAAATGAGGAAGAAGAATCTTGTGGAGAAAGGTAAGTGGGTTGTTAATCAATACCAAATTGCAGTTACTTGTGAGCGAAATGCTCTTGCAGTTAGTAAGTGTCCATACATTGTCCATTTGTACTACTGTTTGCAAACCACCAGTCATATATATTTGGTAATAATCATTATTATCACGATCTGAAATTGCAGGTTATGGAATACCTCGTCGGTGGTGACCTTAAGTCACTTTTGCTGGTTATGGGCTGTCTTCAAGAATCTCACGCTGCTATCTATACTGTTGAAATCGCAATAGCCTTGGAATATCTTCATAATCATGGAATAATTCACCGTGACCTTAAGCCGGATAACATACTTATTGACTCCAAAGGACATTTAAAGCTGACAGATTTCGGGTTATCCACCATAACATGGAAGCGTCGTAAGTTTTTCAAACTAGTCTCGCCTGCAAACTTTTTTCTGACTTCTTTGATCCTCCAAAATTCTTTATTATAAGTCATTATTTCTTATAAGTTTGTTTTAAAACAGTCCTCATTCTCAAGTTTTGAGTCTGTTCTTCATTCCAGTTGAAGTTGACTTTCCTGTAAACATAAACGAATAAAAATCTAACGTATTAGAGAAGTCTTACGTCTAACAATTACCTGAACAGACTTAGAGTGAAACAAATAGCAACTACTAGGTGAATGTCTGATTTTGTGACTAAATCAGTACTGTTTTAAACGTATTTATACCTCAGTTTCACAAACAATTCTGCAAGGGGGTCCGTAACAGCCCATCAACTTTGTCAAGAAATGTAGCAGTCGACGAAATATCAATGCAGTCATCCATTATTCACCGAATGATAAATATATCGCCTTGATAGAAGGCAGTCATTCTTTTGTTGTCATTTCTCCTGAGCCAATGTCTATCACCGAATTTAGCTCATATAGGTTATCAGTGTTTCCCAAGGTTGTATACTTAAAAAGTAAACATCAAGACACGGCAAAGGAAAATTTTTCTTGAACCAACAGTCATGTGGGGGTTGTTATGAATACACTCTATATCTGTATTTCTAACACCTGGGTCACCAATTATGTTCATCCTCTTCAGAGAGTACGAACCAGTGTTACTTGTGCTCAAAAGAATATGATAGCTCTAGTTTTGTTTTGTCAAATAGAATATGTCTAGTAAACGTTCTGTTTTAACATGGTTAGGCATTTTATGACGTTTCAATGTCCCTCTGTATGTGTGTGTGCAGTCATCTCTGATCTCTCTAGGTTTACTTTTCTGCGAAAATAATTATCACTTCCCTGGGATGTCATATAACTTCCATATAAAAGTCCCCCGATAGCCATCCGTGAACACGTGGTAAGCTTTCTCAGTTTTCCCCCGTTATTTGAGTTTGGCTTCCCTTTTATTTTAGCATCCCTTAATTTGCCTTTATTTTTATAGCCTTACAGCCAAGTGATGTTTTGAATACACCGTCTGTGGTTTCATTACCTTTGCAGTACTACCGAACTCCTGGCCAACTTATTTCCTTGACAACTGAACTGGCTTTCGTAAGTATTCGGGAATTAATTGTGTTTTGTTCATTTAAGAAGCAGTAAAATAATAACATTCAAATAAATCTACTATAAGAACAAATACCATTATCTTCGAATAGACGGGAAGTTAGATAACGAACAGTAGAACGACATCTAGATCCTGATCTTTTGGTAATAGTTTTTTTAAGTTATCTGAGTAGCTCCGACAATCTACTCCATAAGTCATCAGATTTTATACTCTGAGTTCGAGTCAGTCATCATACTGTTAATGCGTTGTACAAAAAGTAAAGATCACTGAGTTACTATTATTTGTTCTCATAATAGACTAAGCATGGTAAAATGCTTCTCTGGAAGTGTTTCCAGTAAAAATGAATGCGTTTTTCTTAGACTGTATCATACAATAAGGACGCATATAAGTAAGAAGAGTTAAAAAGGCTCATTGAAATAAGGAATAAAACACATGAGCATTGTGTCTGGATAAATATGAAAATTATCGTGGTACATTATTATGTTTCTATCTGCCAACAAAATTTAATCTTTCAAATATAGTGTATTTGAAGGCACTCGGCTTTGTAGAGTTTCGTACACTTCGAATTTAAATATTTCCACGTAAAACTAACTTATTTCATGTGCTTTTTAGACGGATACACCCATCATACATAAAACCGATGTGGCTCTGAAGGAACGCTTATTGACTTCACGGGATGACAATGCCAAAACTTGTTTTTCCCCAGAGTGTTTATCTTCAGAAAAAGTAATGTTATTTGTAAATTTTATTTATATCATCTTTCTTCCAAGTTACGTAACCCGTTGATTAATATTGTGTTTCTGTATGTTATCAAAGCTATGATTTGTCTTTTTTAATTTGATCAGATAGTATCTGAATTCTGAAATGAATCATGTGTATGTGTGATTCAACATCATTGTAACGCTTTGGTTCTCAAACTAAGTAAAGAAATGTCATGTAACTTTTTTTATGTTCTGTAATCCCTGAATTTGGTTTTAGTTATTTAGCAACGTTTACTTTCAGTCAAAGAAGACCATAATCTCTATCACCTACTAAGTGTATAGACTTAAGTGCACTTAAACGATGAGAACTCAACCGATTCCATGTCGTTTAGCTTTCACCGTCAACAAAACAGTTCTAATTTCTCCCTTATTTACTTGATTATATGACTTTCCTTAATATTTTAAAGGGTTTAGTGGCTCGTTTATTATTCTATCATATATTAAACGGTGAAACCATGGATACGATGCACTCTTTTTGCTTTTTACACCATGTTAGAAAGACTCGTCGCCATAGTTATCGTGTCTGAAGCACTTTAACATGATTCTGTACACTTACAGTCCTGACGAAGTATTTCCTAACAGTAACATCTTTAATCTCAAAGTTCTCATCCTCCACTTTTTGACAATTTTTCTTGAGGTTTATATACACTAAATAATTCCTGGCCCCACGTTGTTTTTTATCTTATTTGAACACAAATATCAGTACGAAGGAGCTCCAGATACATATGCTCCACACGATAACAGGGAAAACGTGAAGACAGCGCGTATAATAAAAAGGGGAACAATAACGAACAGAAATTAGTGTATGATAGTGAAATAATAATCATGGGAGAAGCAATTCACTTAGCAAAAGTACAACTAGAAAGAATTCTTCCAGTTAAAGAAGTTACGTCCGTTTTTTTATGAAGTAAGATAAAGTTACAACACGATCGCCATTGGCTTCTATTCTAAGCCATATCTGATAACGTCTCTAGCCATTGTGTTGCTCCATTTTTAGAATTCCAACCAAGGAGTCGTGAAGGACCAACAGAGAGCACTCATGCACTGCTACCAATTTCGAGTCACATACATTCGATTGCCCCACTCGTCTTCTTGTTCACTACAGCATGACGTAAGCTAATATCTCAGACGAAATTGATACCTCTATTACAGCTGGATGACAGCCGTTTGTTAATCAGCCTAATTGATCAATCTATATGAATCTTTTCTCCTTTTAGAGTTACTTTACTATTTACGATGTTTCAAATTCATTGCATGAATCGTCTTCAGAACCTTCTTTTGGGCATGCTGCATTCTTTGATGAACAACATATCTGTGCTTTACGACGATTCAGAAGTTCTAGTGATTTTGACAATAAGTCTTGGAAATCTCACTTCCGTCGCCATTTGGTCCATTGGTCACCAATATCCAGAAAATCGCGTGTTAGTTCTCAAAATTTTGAAACATCGGAAATCCATTCAGATGAGCTACAGGTGAAATTGTCACTGTATTTTTTTTCTTCAAGTTCCTATACTTGTTATCGATTGAAGTGTTTTCATTCAATTATTAATCTTCAACTTGAATCATTCGTCTTCAGGACATAGCCAACCCTGATATGTTCTTGAATAATCAGTTCTAATGACAGATATAAAATTATTCACTTGGTGATTCCCACTTTTTTTCATTTGTGCTGCAAGTAAAATGTTCATCTGTTTGTCAAAGTAGAGACCCTGTGTAGTAGCAAGTGTTTAGCCATAGGTGTCTTCAAAGCAGTACTGGGATATTCATTTATTTGTATCATAGAAAAACAGGGAACACCAAATCACTCAATGGAAATAAAGATCGATATTAAGGGATACAGTTTGAATGATAAGACAACCAAAAATGTTTCTGCTCAATCGGAAGATTCATCTTACTGAGTATCAAATATACAACACGTTCACCACGGTCCTAGTCATGTCCTTTAACGTTCCAAGCATCTTAAATGTTTGATATCTAAAACCCTATACTGGGAATCGTGGCGAACCAATTGGTGCTGCTTCAACACATCTATCCCTTTAAGTATATTTGTCTCATAACCTAGGTCCTAGACTGTTACTTCATACAACCAACTAATACGCGTAGGATTCGCTAGACTGATACCCTATGCCTGACTTTTGGCTCAATACCAACCAGCCCCGAACGTAGAGGAAGAACACAAAAGCAATGTTCACCAGTCCAGGATCATTATTGTATTTCAGACATTTATATACCTGCAAGACCAGACCTCACAGTAGACCAATTGGGTAACAGTATCAACACGAAACAACAACATTAATGATGGGAAAACGGAATACGGGATACACACATAGTTGGTTCTAGTTTATGAGTGAGAGATGCTATAGCAACAACTTAAGGTTCAATTAAAAGCTTAGAATTAGAGTAATAAGAAAATAGTAAAACCAAAATAATTAATAAAAATCCAATCAATATCTGTAAATAAAACCATAAAAAAATTAGTTTCAAATTTTCTTTACCTTATAGTTAAATCGTCCCTTACAACATATACATAATTAATCGGTCAGATTAAGTTAATGCTTATATGACATACGTGTAAAACAAGTTTTTTTAATATAAATTCTGCACCTCTCCATTCTCATTAAAATCGGTTATATTGTTTAGGTTTTTAGTACAACGTATCATATTTTTAAATATGTTCTTAATTATCTACTATTTAACATAATATTCAATTATAACAGACGTCTTACTTCAGTCGAGTTAGTTCTCTCAGAACTAGCTACAAATTATGTCACCGTCGACGACATAACTACAATCCACTTCCAAAAACAAGACCAACTTCTAACTTATCTGCTATTCATAGTTTAGCAACTAACAAATCAAAAATATCAGTAACTTTGGAGCCATCACATTGCAACCAGGAACATCAGAATATGGAAAAAATGCTTAGAGATACAACTTCGTGTTTGGAAATTTCTTCTTTAAATAGAGATATGCAGGATTTGGTTTTGAACTCCTCTCCATATAGTGTTACTGATAGAAATGATTTAAAGTGAGTGTCTGTTTTACTTCTACATGTTTATTTTAGCTGGTGCTGATTTATGTGTGAATAATTTACACAAATGCTGCAAGAGTGTCCTTCAGAGTTTTCAGGTAGTAAAGTAGGATTTCGACAAACATGCTGGAGTAACAGATAATGGCTGCACACTAATGATGACATGGTCGTGTTTACGGAAACGTAAGCAAATCGATATCTGTTCACCTGAACATTAACAAGTTGTAATCTGCAGCTAACGTCTCAGATGAACTTGTACTTTTCAAAAAGAAAGGTGAGACGGCCGTATAAATACATATAAAGTAATTTTCGAAAACATTAAGCTAACGGACTAAAACTAAGTTGCCAACCGTAAACTGACAAGCATTCGAGGCTAATTCTTGCACTACAATTATTTTACAAATTGATAATAAAACAGTTTTCGAAAACAAATTAAAAGGTGTTCTTAATATGTAACTACCCCCTTGGTAAGCTTAGTATAAAAACGTATATACGGTCGTCTAGTTATATTCGCTCGTCTCATGATTGTTTATTTGGTGTGATTTTCTACTGTATTCGTTAGTCAAAAAATCTTTTATAAGAGACAGTGTTCTGTTTTCCCCAACAAATTGTGGAATAACCCTGTTTCAAATTCATTCAACAGTGCATAACACATTATTAGGTCACTAACCAATTCACCTGGCTAAATTAAAATTCAACCTAATTTGGTTTCCCCTCATTCATTTTCTAGACAAAATACTTCAACGGAAAATATATTGTCTCCAGTTGAAAAAGCCAGATTAAACCTGTTCCGTCATTCACCGTTATCCCACTGTTTAGGTATAAGTGGTACGTTTATCTTTTTGTTTACTTAGTCTATTACATTTTTTTCACCATCAGTTTTCTGTGTGTACAATCATCATGAACACTTTTCGGTTGTATAAAAATATGAATTACTTTAAATTGTCAGCATACGCTAGTGAAAATGTGATTATTCTCCATGACCGTTAAATTATATTTCTGTATGACGTAGCATAGTAATCAGATGTAAATATTTATTGTTCTGTATTTAATCACTATTGAGTGCTGTCTAAAGAAAAAAAGGGAGTTGTGGCTAATCAACTTAATCACTGAATATCGTAAGTCCTAGGATGACGTTCGTAAACTATGACCAATCCAATATTGTCGGTGTTTGAAGACGGTGATATACCTTAGTATTACTAACATTATTGTCACTCGATGTCAGGAATATTTTAGAGACAACGATAACTGAACATCGTCAGCTTTATGAGACCAAGTTTCAAAAGCATAGGGGAAAACTACTCTCATCGATCTGTCATAAATCCGACAATTTACAGCCAGACTAACATCATAAAAACTCTAAAGATGACTCATATTGGCTTTCATTATATGCAAATTGACCTCATTTGTTATGCCACCAGCAGCACTCACACAGCTACCTATATATACAAACTTTTTGACTGCTTCTAACGGTCCACTGCAAATGAGCAAGTGCAGACACAAGTTCTTGTCAGTCTTGAAGAAGTACTTTACATTTCGAAGGTTTGAAATACATGCTATGGTTAATGGTTCTGATTAAATGCAGTTTAGGTTGCTCATGTCTCATCTCACCAGAAGACCATGTCATTTGGATACTAAAGATCGAAAGTTCTTTCTACAAGTGATTGATACATACTATTACCACTTCCTCTTTTTGGATCTATTTCTAGAGTATCAGTAGTTTCCTGTGAGGGACAAAAGTTCATTATTGAATAGAAATAAGTTTATGGGCTGATGTTTCGCATTAAAAAACAAATATGTATAAATGATTAAAAACTAAAGTGACATTATAATTAAATTATTTGCATTCTTCGGAATCAGTAGGAAAACAAATCCCAAATCTTTTGTCATAGTCTGTAATAGAGCTGCTTTTCGTTTTTTTTGTTCACTTCAAGCCAGTCATGCCTAATAGTATTGGCAAGTGTGTTTTGTGAGCGAAAAAATCGTACGCTATATATACTTAACACCACAGAAGCACGTAAACTAACAAATGGACACTTATGACTTAGTATGTTAGCTTGTCTCAAACTTATTGATGACTGGTTTTCAGACAGGTGAACGAAGTTCTCCAAAGTTTATTAAAGATATTCCTTCGTCGTTTGCGCTTTCAGATTTCGACCTACGAATCTTGTTGAGAATCCGCTCCTAAAAGTTTTATAATTCTTATTATTTCTCAACTTTATTTCGTTTTCTTTAGGCGATTATTACTTAAATGATATTGATCCTTTGAATCCATCTATGGATGACTGTGTAACTTCTCCAGTGCTACTTGATACACCTTTAAAATTTCCTCATCATTCTCCTGCTTCTATATTTAAAGTGAGTATCTTTCCTTTACTTATTTTGACTCGAATTTCGATTCGTCATATCAGTGTTTCGATAAAAATGTATTGTGGTCCGGTTGAAGTTAGACAATAACACCGTTGGATGCCGGCTCACTGCTCTAGAGGTTAAGCATTCGCGCACGAGACCGAAAGTCCCGGGTTCGAGTCCCACGTGCAGGGTCGTGGCTGAGAAATTCTGAGGAGTCCAACGCTAGCACCAAACGGCTGTCCAGTGCTTCCAGTTTTCAGTGGTGGTCTAACGGTGATCGGTTTATGAACTCAATTAAAACTCCGTAATGTTTCCTGTTTTACATTTTGAACATAATAATTAGATGTAAGCAGAGTACGAATAACGATATTTACAAAATGTAATAAGCTGGTTGTATTTCCAGCCTTCTCCCCAGCAGCATATGTAGGCTAGTAAATTTAGTTCGTTCAAGATATTAGCATGAAATTATTAAGGACAGAATTTCCCCTCAAATATCATCAAAATTGCAATGAAAATTTAATTTAAAGTTCTTAGAGTGATTCTTTATGTAATCTTAGTCAATAGTCCTAATATATTGTTGCGTAATATATCGAAAGTTATAAGTAGACTAAGAGGATAGAAAGCGAATTTTAAATTGTTAAATGGTTGTCATAACTTTCTGAAAAAGAAAAATTGATTCCTTGTTACTGTCCCTTTTCGTTACCAAAGGAATTGTAAGCTAACCATATAGTCTTTTCGAATAATCGGGTTATATTCTTGTAATTACTATTACCTCAGAAAATTTCAGTAAAGTTATGCTGCCTATCGATTGTTTCTAATGTGCACATTGTATCCATCTTGTGTTCCGTGTCCGATTGTGAAGATTGGTTTGTTAAATTTGTGGGGAGGTTGGCTTCCAACTACCTCAGTTTAACTGAAACTGTTTTTTCATCAATAACACCCGAAATTCCCGAAAATTAATTTTTATATGTAATTCATACCTTAATGAATCAAAGCATTCCCCAACTGATCACTTTATGAAAGTTTTTAAATCATCTGTAGGACCATAGTCATTTGTTTCAAAGTAAAAAGGTTGATATTTTTGGAGAATTAAAGCGAATCGCTCATCTTTCTGGTTGTGGATTCCAGTCACTGGTAAAGCGTGTATAGTTCGTATTTTGATTTATATTGGGTGTACTATTGGAGCAGTAAACGACCATGATGGTTGTCGTTCAGTACATTTTTACTGTGCTAAAATACCATTAAAGTCAGACCATTTCCAAAAGTTCTTCTTCATCTGTCTATAATTTATGAAAATTATCTACATTTTATTTTTGTGTCAATCCCGTATATTCCCTCTATAATATATGGGTTACTAAGTTTATAATCTCTAGCGGATAGACGATTGATTAGCTTACGTATTGCAGATGTTGACAATTCAGTAACATAAATGATAAAAAAATTTTAGTTAAGTTTTCAATATATGGAATCGGTAAAATAAAGTTAGACCATATTTAGCTGTTTGGTGTGCAGTTCTGATACTGCCTACCTCAGGAAAAAGATTGAGAGTGAGAAAGAAGCTTTTTTACCCTAAACCAGATACGTATACGTATCCCTTCAAAATTTAAACTATGTGTTCAGCCAATTGCATTTATCTCGTTCCTTAGAAAAGAATTCGGATCTTGACCAATGAGATACGCTTAGCATTTTCCAAGCGTTTGATTGGTGCACTGGAGAAGACGTTTAAAACCCTCAATTTCAAACACTGAACACCCTCTTTAAAGATTAAATTGGAATAGGTTTTACATAACTCTTAAGGGTAATATAAATGAAATAATACTAAGTTAATAAAACACATTAAGTTGTTTAATCAATATTTCAGATTGTTTTAATCCATCTTTTTTATTGTACTGTAAAGTGGCTTAACTGATTTTTGGGGATTTGGATTATTATTTGTTTATCACTTACCAAGAAGACATGTTCTAATGTTATGTTTTTGATCGGTAATTTTGTTGTTTGTTTAAAACAACTTTTGTTATCTGATTTAATAAAAATTAAAACTTTGTTTCAGAAAAATTGCAAACATTTAACTCGAAATTTCCACTCAGTCGAATCAGAAAGTAATCTTCCTGCTCAAACACTGCTTTATTCTAGTCCTTTATGTTCCATGCATTTAAATTCTGCTTGTAAACATCAGCGGTTCGACAACAAATTGATCACTTCGTTGGATAGTTCACCAGCAGTTGATCCACTTCAAGTTACTACAGAATCACTTGAAAATCTATCAGATCCAGAGAGCTTATCTAGTCAATTGTTAGGTACTCCGGAATATTTGGCACCAGAATTATTACTTCATCCTAATTCTAAAAGTGCATTCGATAGTCCAGCTGTCGATTGGTGGGCTTTAGGTGTTATATTATTTGAAATGTTAGTTGGTGTAACTCCATTCGCAGATGAAACTGTAGAAAATGTGTTTCACAACATTCTAAGCTTAGGTATGTTTGAGGAGTGACTTTGATTAGCAGATTTTTTATTTCCTATTTTTATGCAAAAATCCTTAGTACTTTGTATAATAATAAATAAAGTAAATTATCTATTAAGTATTGGTTTGTTCAGTGGGCTTCAATCATATAAGTGATATTATCCGGCTGCCCGAACCCGATTCAGTGAAACGGGGTTGAATTTACAACTTTATTGGTTATATCACGAATTTTTAACCAATAGGCCGCCACTTCAGTACTTAGTATAGAATTTCGACTGATTCGGTTTGATATGTGCTAAATAGATTAGAATGTTGAGCATGTTATATTTACATGAATGTCCTATAAATTTCTATTATTAGCGATAAGGTTCATTGTGATCGTTTTCCTGCACCAATTTTTTTAACGGCATACGCAATGATAAACTAATTTTTGATAATATTTAGCTTTTTGAATTGATTACTCAAGTCTATATAATTGACCAGATAGTTACTGTATAATACGCATTACCTTTAATCATATAAGTGATTAATGTAAGATTCTACTACTATCAAAACTGAAGAAATAATGAGACCAATACTAAAAAAAATAAAGCGTTAGAATTTTATTACGGACAGTAAACAATACTTTATTGTTGTTTCGTACCAGAATAAATATACTTCCATGAAATGATTAGGACTGATATTATCATATACAACAGGACTATATTTGATAATCTTATCAAAATTAATCAATAATTTAGTTATATTGTGTATGAGATTATCAAATAGACTTGAAGATGAAATGATTAGAAGAAACTATCAGTCACTGCAATATCGAAATAAGAAGTGAGTGGGATTTCACCACTACAAATAATCGTAGATCTACTGTCGGTTATCTACAATTATCACCTTTCAACGGTCTATTGTCCATATTCTGGTGACCTACAATTAAATAAATTATTAGGATTCGAAAATTTTATGATGTCTTGTTTTATCTTTTTTTCAAGTTATCGCGCTTAACTATTATTGAAGATTAAAATGGTTTTTTACTGCACTCAGTAGGACTATCTATCAGTAAATCGTGTACAGGCATAATTTAATAATCTAGGCATCTTCGGTTGTCAAGCTGTTCGCTCGAACTACACCCTATTTATCTTCGTTTTGATAGATAGAAGTGTCAATAGTCCCTACACGGAACGTGCAACCGAAAGCTAAATGTATCAACCCATACCCAATTACTGAGTTGTCTCTGAAACATTAAGTGTTTTTGGTATATTTAAAGAAGTAATGATAACCTACATATTGCTTGCATCCGTGTGCTAATATTTCTGGTCTTTTTAATATTGTTTCTCATTATTGTAAATTTTATGGTTTCTTCACAGATATACGCTGGCCTGTTACTACTACCTGTGGATCATCTTTTAACATAAAAGAATCACCACAAAAAAACTGTGAACTTTCACAAGCAGCTGTAAACTTAATTAGTGGTCTCTTATCTTATAATCAAACAGACAGACTTAAAGTTGCAAATCAAATAAAGTCAAGTGATTTTTTAATACCTGTTGGTGATTGGAATAATTTAGATGATTTAGAAATGCCTTTCATTCCTCATCCTGATAATTCAACAGATACATTTTATTTTGATGTAAGTAAACTAATTATTTGTAATTTTTTATTCTGTTATACTTTTACATAAAATGTATTTGTGACTACGTAATTTAGCAGAATATGCGTTATTGTGTCATCTGAACAAGAGATTAAGCCTGATAACAGACAACTTAGTCAAATGCTTAGTAGTTTCCCTAAATCATTCGTTAAAATACCCTAACGCACTCTGGAATAATAACATTTACAAGATAAGCGAAGTGATAGGTACATTCAACTATTTAACTTCCTGTCATTAATTTAGGCCTTGACGCTGACCGATTGTGAAGGAACAGAATTCATTTAGATAGAAAAAAAACATATCCCGAAGGTGCTATCATTGTTATTTTAAACTTTTTTTCAGCGTCTTCGCCATACAATTAGTTTACTATTTGGATATTCTGAACCAACAAGTGAAACACGTCAGTATGCAGAAAAACTATGTTAAAATTATCCGTCAGTTTCTAAGCTTCCTCTGATGATTTTAGTACAATAATGATTTGATGCATAGAACATCATTTTTAGTGTCCACTTACTTATTCACCGGCTCATCAATGTTAAAATTTGTATAATATTACTGGTTTTTTTGTACTACATAGCTGTTACCTATACGAAACATCATAACACCTATTATGCATTATAGTTCATTACTTTGTGTTGCCTTTCTTGAATACAACAGTAAATTAACATACTTTCATATTCACAGATGTAGTGCATAACCTAGAGTATTTAATTCATGTATTTGATTACTTAATTTTATTATACCCATAACAAAATCCCCCATTGTAATAGTGTAACATTTTTTCATGAGTGAATTATTGATATGCTTACTCATTCACCCTCATATAGATTCGTAATCGGTACAATCAATATAGTGAAGAGGATCTATGTGCAAATGTGAAATGATGAAATCTATGACTTAATTAATTTCCTCTGTACAGGTAATATTATTGATACACATATGTGTGCTTATAAATAAATGTTTATTTATTAATTCTAAACTATTTATCCGCTTCTTTAACATGCGTAATTTTTTGTTTCCTTATTTTTAAACAATCGTTTTAAATTATCGCATATGTATAACAGTAATTTAGCGTGATTCATGTAATCCTTTCATTTATAAAATTGTTACAAATTGTCTATTAAATATAAATTAATTCTTTCGCTTTCATTTTTTATGAATGAGTAGGTGTGACAGACTATGTCATTTAAAACTGCTTCTTAAATATGAAGCATGTATTTTAAAATGAGTTTAACAAACTTAAAATAACTACAGTTGCGTTCGCATTGCCTTATTTTCTGTTTCTATAAACATTTGAATCGAACCCTTGATAAATATACACCTTCTTTAGGTTTGTTTGCGCAGTGAATATTGCCTTAGTTCCTGTCTGTTTTAAATGGTTCGCTGTTGCGTTCCTCTGGTTTTTCTCTTTAATTTCATTAGGTGCTTGGAATACACTGTTCTACAAAATTTTGTAATCGGCTTTTTATTTTAAGCTTCCTGACACATAATGGATCAATAGGGTTTAATTCTCTGGGAATTGAGGGATAATATAGAACAACGGTCTCTGGATTCAGGTCGAAATTAGGATTTATCTCAATAGTGTTCAACCTCTTACAACCAGGCTTATGTTTATATTGGTGGGATCACCTAGTCCCACGTTTACATCGAGAAGATTAATCTCACCCGTCTCTTGAAATTCTAATCATTTCGCTCGCCTATGAGAGCTCTTATGATTATATTTCTAGGTCTAGTAAGGAACGCATGGTGGGACAAGTGTTTGGTATCTAACAATGATTATTAACGATACGTTCTTACCTTAATATACATTATTAAAGGATAAATAACTGCGTCTGGGCACCCAGGTTTTGAAAATCATAATTCTTTCAGTAGACTCTATCTTTCGTTCCTTTTGGTTTGTTGCCTTCCAAAAAGTTGCTAAAACATTGGTTCCTATATTGTCACTGTTATGGTGATCCAGAAAAATTCTCGCAAAAGACAAGAAAGGCTCAGGAAACACTAAAAAGCTTTTTATCCAACCAACGTTCACTAGGAGTTTTGCCAAAAACATCATGAAAGTGAAAAGTCACATGTCCAGTTTCTGATTGACTGATTACTATGCTGCTATTATGTTTAGTTGCATTCCACAATTTTCGGGGAAACGCAAGGACTTCTAAATTATTATAAAAACCCTATATCTTCTGTACATGGATGAACCTCTAGAGTAAAGTGCTTCTCGCATATTTTTCTCTGGTGTTCAAGTTGCCGTGTAGTTTTAGCTTGGGTTTTACAAGATAGCTTAGGAACCGAGTATAGCTTTCAATTATCAGGACCTATCTGTCACTTAGGGAGAGTAAGTTTTTACATACTCAAGTTCATCAGGTCGCTCTTCAAGTGACAAATGTCCACACACTTCCCTCGAAAGTACTTCTAGAGTGCCATCAGTAAGATTTAAAAAGTATAATCTCCAAATTTACCTAACTACACTGTTATTTCGGTAGATTGTAGAAAAAGCACAGTATATCCCTCTCTGCTATCTGGAGTAACCTTATTTAATGTTCTAGAAGCGGAAACGGTTTACAAGGACTCTCATCTGTAAAAGATAATTGAAAACACTTGACACAATCGATTTTTATGTACAAATGATCTTCTATAGCTAGTGCAGTTAGCTGAAGTAACCTGTTGATATTGCTGTGTTTTAAAAACATTTCATCTGCACTTTATCCCAGCTATGATTGGTATCTCAATAATATCGTTAACTGTAAAGGCCTCATCTCATTTCGGAATAGTGGCTTCATGGTCGTACATCCTTACCTCCCTGACCAACATTCTCACACTTCATTTCCTTACCTTTGAAAATGTATTTTCCAATAAAAGAAAAGGTTAAATCCCTGATTACTATCGTTATTAGTTTGCTGTAAAAAGTCAGTAATTCGTTCATGAGTTGCATTTTTCCAATAACAACTTCACAGACTAGTTGTTTTTCGAGAATTCATTAATTTGTCATCCATGAGTCCTGTGACGGTTTCTTACGCTCAGATTTTCACTTACATATGTGGGTACAAGAGGAATTCGTCTTCACAACTTTCCATAGTAAAGATATTTTGCTATTAAAAATAGTTCAATATCAGTCCAGTTATGTTTCATGCATTTCCTCCCTTTTACAGGTCTTATTAAAGAAGAAATAACTGTCGTAGCAGAATTGTGGCTTCTTTTTTTATACAGGAATTATTTTCACATAAATTATTCGCAAATACGAGTTCGAAATTATTCTGGTGAATATTTTGAGAAAATTCCCATCTAATTGTTTATATATATTCAACAGATTCTTCATCTAAAAATGGTGGATTTAAAAACTCCAATTCTATTAGATCATTTGTAGGTTGTGAGAATATTTTGTAGCTATTATGAACATTTTCATAGTCGATACTTAGTTGTTCAGTTAGTTGATTGAATGCTTTTGACATAACGTCACGAAATAATGCAGCTTGTTCTTTTAATTTTTGTTCTAATATACTGATTTTCGAATCTTTTTCCGCCATACAATTTAGGTATTCTTGACGTAAACTTTTCAGTTCATCATTTTTCATTTCAATTAATTTATTGGCCTCATCTAGTTTTGTGGTTAATTTTCCTATTTCATCTCGAAGATTGGTTACTTTGATCTCATTTTCTGTGATTAGGAAAGCAGTATGGTTTTGTGTTGATTTTTTCAATTTATCATAATTTCGTACAGACTCCAATTTCTCAGTATACTCTTGATAACGACGATTTTCTGCAATAAATATTTTTCTGCTTACTTCTTCCCGCAAGTTTTTCACGTCTTTCTGTGTTTTTTCTAATGTCTCATTCACAGGGTCCTTTGCTTTAGTTTTCTTTCCTTTAGTTTTACGTTTACCACTAACAGCTTTCGACATTATTCTGAACTATTCTTCACTCAAATCAAATCGTTTTTTGAAGAAATCCTAAAATAAAGATGTAAAATTTTAAAAAAAAGACGTTGAGAATTAGGAGATTGATGTCTCTTTACACGTTTACTTTGTAACATACATTACAGTTCTCAGTAGGTATCATTACCGAGGTTTGACTTTATAATTTCGAATAAATTGAGCATTGGGTAGATTGTTATAAATAAATAATATATTTGTAATATCCCAACGAGTAAAATAATTGGATTTTCTGACGTTTCGTGACTCAGTATAAGCCACTTCTTCAGAGTGTGAATAACCAAATCAAAATTAATTCAAATTTAAATAGTATAACGGAACAACACGAATATTATGTGATCAATCAAGAAACAGGTCTGAATAACTCAATGTCATTTCGGTCCAGGTGATTCATAAGCGATATGTATGTAAATTTGTGTGTATCTATGCACTGTTAAAGATGAAAATATGTGACCTTTATAGTGATAAAGGATAGAGTTTAACTTGTAAGATAATAATGTGAATAGTGTCATACTAGGCGGCTAGGATAGATAGTCCAAGTGGGATGTATGGTAAGGCCTTCTTTTCTGTTGAGAGCAGTAGGATTAAGCATTATTTGAAACCTTTCAGCTACTCCCCCTGTAAAATTTAATGATTTTCAAATCGATTTGGTGGTCGCTGAAAATTGCGTGAACTGCTATTGCCGAGTCTGAAGTCTATTAAGTTCTATGGGATGATTAAGTGGTTTCTCTGTGTACCTAATATGTTATTTAGCTCGAATCAAGATTTCGCGAGATGACTCTCCAATATTGAAGGCATCACAATTGTCTCTTAACGTATATTCTTGAATGAGACCTCATATTAGGTTGTATTTATCGCCCATAATCAGGTGAGATGTACAAATCAAGTAAAAACAGCTGAAAATGAAGGCTGACTCTCTGTTGTCATTCTAAACGTCGAGGAACGAAAACGTTCACGGAAAAAATTCTCAGGATACACTAAGTCATTTCTCATGCGTCGGTTGTCTTCAAGCAGTTGAAAGACTTCCGAAAAGGTTTTGAAAATTAAATCTTACCACGATCTAAACTACATTAACTCACTAATACGCAAGCTACTTTCGGAAACAGTAAATAGGTTAGTACAAAAAAGACAATGTCTCCAGTCGATTTTTCGCAAGTTATTTTTACTTCCACTGGAATGCCTAATCTACTGTCAATAAATTTGTACAAATAGCATGGAACTGTAATCTACGTTCACACTGACCTTTGTTTGGTTGATCATATTAAGACTACAGAGACGTAAATAAACGGACCTTATTCTGAAGGGCAATTAAATTGTCAAAGTGTGAGGCAAAATGATTTCAAAACCACTGGGTGATTCGGGAAATTACCTGACATAGCTAACCATTTGGGACATGACTGCTCGCTGTCTACCTAATAAGATGATGGAGTTTAAAACAGAAGCCATCCGGAAAAAATGATAGCGAAATTCACCTGTTTGCTTTCTTCATAGAACAGAGAGACTTAACTGTAGGGAAGTAGGCGTCGTCGTTTACTTGAAAAATATGGGGTCTTAAGGCATGGGCACATGACTCATGTACAAATTTAATTGTGCGTCACCGTATTAAATACATAGAGCCAGCTGTTATATGTCCTTGTCCTAAATATTTATTTGATGATTTCTTCATAATTATACACCAACCCTGATTAACCAAGTACAGAAACCTAGAAGTAGGTGATTCTTACATCCCCTATAAATTACGCTTAGTTAAGTTATCAGTAAAATTATTTTGAATAAAAACTGCTGGGAACTAAGATTTTTCCGACCTTATCTCAGCACATTGATCCCCCCACTTAAAATGAATTACGGAATCATTCTGTCATAAACATAGTGCTCGTTTACGGTGATGATAGGGAAATTATGCAACTTCCACATGTAGAGAGTCGTGTTCCTTTTGAGAAAGTGAAAAACCTATAGTTAATTTCTCATTCGTAAAGTACTTCCTTCACTTGACTGCGAAATTACAGAATTGTGACCAAGAACAACAAATCAGACAATGTTTTGAATTTGACCATCTCATCTGCCTAGGCTTACATTTAAGTATTTGCGTCTTGTCACCAAGACAATAGCACAAGGTCTTTCAATATCTAATATATTTAAAGGAGTTTTTATAGACTGACTTTTCGCTCACATCTTTTCGTTTCGTTGCGGTTCAACATATATGGTTATCCTTAATGCGTGGTATTTTAGTTATTCAGCCTCACCAGTTTTGTTCACTCTAGGGGGATTCATATATCATGTAATCTGAGTTATGCACTAGGATGGGAGTTAAATAGTGACATATATTTATTCAGTAATGAAGAAATAAAGACCATAGATTGTCTTTACTTGCGATACTTTACATGTAGTCAGGCTTATGTTTATTATATATTGTTATATGAATCATTTTTGAGTAGGCGTAATAGTCATTCGGCTATATCATATATCTCAAGCTACCGGTTCTGGTCAAATAAACGCTGACATCGACTTCTGTTATCTACTTTGATGACCATTTACTGAAATTATAACAGTGTTATAACATCATTGTATGTCATTCCCCACTATGTCAGAGAGTTGTCCCGGATAACTATTGAGTAATACTGTCGGATTGAATCTTTTTCAACATTCCATTTACACCAAAACGTGCGTAGGGCGTTCATTAGTTAAGCGAACTCATTTGTGATTGATATCTCAGAATTAACAAGTAACGATTGTTTCATAACAACTCTCATCATTTTGTTTTTATTATGCCATTTTGTGAGTGCTATTTTGATAACACTTGTTTTACTCATAAATTGGCACTCTGTTTTGTAGAATTATTGTTTGTCGGTATATCATTATTACTTGTTCTTGTAGTTGTAGCATCAATAAGCTATTTTACTGAAGCTCACCTCAGAGTGAGTGTATTTCTTTAAGGGTAGCAACGTTTCTGGATACAAGCAGTGATCAAGTAACCCGGCATGAGTTTGGTTAGTTGCAATATGAAAATAAGAAGGCCATAGTTTGAGTACTAATAGGAAACTGTTGCTTCAAGAATAAATAAATACGCGAGTTAATTGGTAATTTGTATATAGACCGAAGCAAATGATGAGAGGAGAAAATGATATGATGGAGTATACGTTGATTGTCTCAAGTCGATGATTTCTTATTCTTATATAACCCAACGAAAATATACTGAGGATTCCGGGTCCACTTTATTTACATTGGTTTCGCAGGACTTACGCTCACTTAGTTGCTAGTCATTCGACTTAATCTGAGTCAGTGATGTTACATTGGTATGGACGGGGTGTATTGATGTTTCAAGCCACGTTGTAACACATGTCCGAAATAATAATAGATTGATTTCACCAAGCTGTCTTCATAGAAAGTAAAGAGAGAAACTTGGCTTTTCTGTATATCATGAACAGGTTATGCTGGTGTCCTTGGCCGATAAGGCTAGTGGGGGACAGTAAAAAATTCAGGTTTACTCAAAACTGCCTGCTATGTCCCTTTAAAGACCTTGGACGTCTTTACATGAAGCGACCATTTCGTATTTAGACTGCTATAGATTTGTAATGTGTCTGTTAAATCGTATGAATTTCAAGTGTTCTCTTATTTAAGTAGTCATTTACTGCATCAAAATCACGAAATCATTGCGGAAAAAATTGAATTCGCTTCCTCCGTTTTGTAGTTAACACGCGGGCACAATTGTTTCTTGGTTACTTGATGTGATATACCAAGTACCGTATGGAGTCTCCCTGTTTTTATTTAAACGTTGTGAGATCCAGGAAACAGCGTATAAATAATAACATCCGAGTTCTAGGTACGCTAAGTTTGTGTGGTTAACTTGTATTGTCCTACTTTTGCAACGAAGTGGCGACTGATATAATGGAAACATTTATTATTATAATCATTTGCTCCAGTGATTGTTTTACTATACTTGTATTTATAAGTGTTCCAAAGACAGACTCCCTCCGTTGACTGTGACTTTGTACAAACTCGCTTACGCTCGACAGTTTTGCTTATAAAATTTGACATGTCTTGGTATCCTCTCGACACCACGAGATCGCCAAGAAATATATCTTATTTCAACCGTCAAAAGCCTTCTGGATTTTGACCTACCAAGGTATCCAACTTGATACCTGACACGTAATCTTCCTGTAGTAGTGATTATAATCAATCGCGACTAGACGCTGTCTGCAAACTGTTTTACGCAAGTATTAAGTTGAAATATCAAATAACCGGTAGGTTTTAAATGTTGGTTACCCAACGCTGATTGTAGTGCTTCATATTCAGGAGATAGTTCAGTCGACGTAGAAGAGGCATTTCAACGTACGATTATGGCATGTACCTTATTTCATATACAAGTAAACTAAATTTGATAAGCATCATTAGTGTAAACGATCCTCACTAGCATTCATTTGTTGATGTTAACCTTCGAGTCATTTGTTAAGTTGCACATCGAAAAACTAACAAGAGCAATTAAAGAAAATCGAGGAAAATATTTCTTTATGGTATAGATTTATTCTTGATACGTACTGGAAAATGAAAATCATCTTGTCCAATTCGGCATTTGTTTGCAACGCATAATGGGAATCGTACGGCTGGCGTTCATGTGGAGACCAGAGGACAGGTTGTCCACTTCGAACAACAGAAAGATATTCATTTAGGCAATAGTCAAAAAAGACAGACAGTAGTAGTTGCTTGAGGGTTTGAAATCGATTTGTCTGGAAATGCGTAAAATGTGAATGTATATCCAACCGTTCCATCACAGGTTCCATAGCGACGTCAATGTGATATTTAGGAGTATTTGAATGATAGTATAAACTATCAATCCTCAGAAACAACGCGATTTAATCAAGAGGTATTCGATGAGCACGAACAAATGTATTGCACTTGGAATTTAAAATCAAAGCAGTCATCAAAACAAGAGAATCATTGGTTTCCACTTCTACCACTGCCGACCATTCCCAAGTGTTACATGTCGAATATACATCTTTTCAGTCACTTTAAGCTTGGCTTCGAAGAGCATGTCGCTATAAATATTCATTCGAATATACTGTCACAGTAAAAAAACTTATGCACAGAACTCAACATTCTAGCGAAATGTCTAAACTGATGCAGTACTACAAGTTTTCGTAACGAAAGCAAACACTTAGTTTTTAATTTTGTAAAACAGTTACCCTTTATGACTATCCATATATCTACCCATAAATCTATATTGATTTATCATTACTACTGGTACAGAAACATTTAATGCAGACAAATCAGTTTCCAATTTGGATATACCACTACAAAGAACTTATTGTAAACAGTTCCTGTCACGTCTGAATAATTTGTTGTATTCGGATGCATATTTTTTTATCGAATAGATTACTACACAAAGACAAGCGTTAGAGAAATTAGTCTTAATTACTTATTGATGATTCTTAGGCGAAAATCGGCTTTGTTGAATCTATATATACTGTGTGCTTAGTCTTGGTAGTGAAACTGTTGTTATTATGAAAGGTGTGAATGTTATCTATTTTCCATCGACTGCAATGCCTAGGAATATAATGAACCATACAGCTCATAATTGACAACTGATCGAGCTTACGTGTGAGAGTTCTTCTTACGTATGCCAGTAGCATATGACGGCAAGGACACCGGCATGTCACAATTTATTCACGATCGAGTTTACATCTGCTCGCAATTCTTTTCGCTTCCAGAAAAACAGAGCAGGACGCCTTCGACCAACTAACAGGACAAAATTCTCCTTGAAATGGAGAGATCGGGAAGTTACGAAGCAACAATCGGTCAAATACGTGCACAACGAGACACAGAGAACTAAATCAATGTTCTTCGCAATGAATTTGTGGTTACACTATAGTAAAAGACCACTTACATATGAGAAAACCTGATATTGGTGCAACCTATATTAATGGTGATCCGAAGTATGTGAAAAGTTGCAGCTTCTCCATAGTATGGAATGGACCCTTCTGATGGGATAATTTCATTAATCGTTTCCTTCTAACGTCCAATAGCTGAACGAAAGGCTTAAAGTATACATCAATAATAGTTACTCAGCTTGGAAACGCGCTAAACGGAATAGACCTCCCTGCTCGAGGGCTCCTGTGAAAATTTGCAAGACACGTTCAGAAATTTTTACGTGGTTATCACACCAATCTTTACATATTACGCACAAATTGGCTTGGTTGAATTAATATCTTTAGTACTTGCACAACAAAGTTACTGTGTAGTTATGTAAAGACGGGTGAAGATCGAAATGAAAACAGTATCGTTTACTTATGAGTGATGATCCTTGAAATAAATGAGACGGAACTGCGTCAGACACGTGATGAAGTACTTGGACATTTACATCAATATTAAAGGCTGATTAGATAAGTAATCAAAAGAAGTCATTTCGAAAATCCCGATTAATAGTAAAGTTTTTTCGAGAACACACTTTGAACTCGAATAGAAACGTGTTCTGGTAGATCTGTGTTATAAGATGGGGTACTGTTTCGGCACATTTACTAAACTGGGACTCATCATTTCGCTTCTTTTGCGACTGATTAATTTTACAGGATGTTCCGTTAGATCCTTTTGTTCTAAGTTAAATGAATGTTAAGACAATTTACAGCGGTCAGTCAGAGATCCTATATCCGAAGTACATATATGTCACAATTCTGAGGTCTTTTAATAGAAAAACCCTCATATTCCTGAGCTGCTGGAGTTGTATTATTGGATGGCTTTTCATAGCAGAAGTTTTAGTTACATAGTCTTACAACATTTGAAGCTATGTATCAATAATCGAGAGCATTTAGAAATTTCAGTTGGGGATGATTCAAAAACGAATATCTAAATATGTAAACACTATGTATAGTACAAGTGTTAAAAATGCATTTTAGTAAGAACACCAACTATTAGAAGTTTTAGAATTACAGTGACGTAACTAGTGGTTAAAGAAATGTTTAATTTCTTTAAAATGTCACCATTACCAAAACGTTTGGTCCAAATGGATAAAGCGACACAAAGAATGACAGTTAATCTAAAAAGCATATTCTTAAACAAACAAGTGATAATTTACTGTATATTCACGCACTAAACATTGATTCAAACAATAATCAGTAGGTAATTTAAAATGAAAAGAAATGAAAACAGAATATCAAATATTCGGCACTATAATATATATTACAGATGTACAAAATGCAAATCAATCACGAATGAATACTTTCTAAAGCATGATAACCAGAGAGAATGAAATGTAATTATAGATGAAAAGATGAATCTGCAAAAAACTATTACACACAATCTTTACTAGAACTTTTCACTACAGTATCTGAATCAATTTCTTGAGACTTTGATTCTTCTTGAGGTTCATTTGGATCTTGAATAGCCAGTCGAATACGAGAGAGAATAAAGCCCGGTGTAGTGTCTATGGCACGCTTACCATCTATGCAATTTAAAAATATTGTAATAAAACATAATTAAGTTAATAGGAACACAGAAAAAACTATCTTGTAGTGTTATAAAATTGGAAAAAAGTTCTACACATGAAACAAACACCAAGACTTGAAATTATTAAGTGTTTCATGAAATAGAGTATTTTTTTGATTACCGATATTAAACCACAGTCAACTGTTACCGTACACTACAGAATGGTTAGGAAAATAAATAAGTATTTCTGAGTTCCTGATTTGGCACGTAACACAATTTCAACGATAAAACTCGAATAATAGTGATAAGCATTGTGGGATATGATAATTGTTAACGAATGATAAGTTCGGATACTAAGTAAACAGTAAATCATTTATTCAGTGCAGTGTGAATGTGATAAACGACTATTTCAAAAAAATTTCTATGACAGAAATACATTACCTGGTTTTATGAGATTGATCGAACAATTTTATTAAAAACTGTAACCTTTAAAAGCAATATAAACGAGCGCTTAGAAGTACTTTTATCTTGGATATAAGTCGAATTTCAAGTTTTATTATTTTCTGAAACAATATTTCACATAGTTTAATCACTTCAAACGGTTTTAGTGTTACCAGACAACATGTTTGTAATAACTTAAATGTTTAAAATAGCTTACTTTAATAAAGATCTATCAATCAGATATTCTCTTAGTTAAAAACAATTTTCTTATCATTCGCAGCTAAATTTGCTTCTTAAATTTACTATTTACATACGGAAGTATCGTTTGGAAATGAGTTTATTTAAGATATTATCAAATTTCTAGTTTTACACGCTTGAATGAATGCCAAAATATAAGTGAGAAAATAAGCATATACGCCCTGTGATACAAAAAATAATTCTTAGCTTGTCCCTCTGAAAAAACCAAGCAGGAAGTACTGTTGACAAAAGTAACCTCACCGCAAAAAGTGTAAAAGTCATCAAGATTACGCAACATTCAATTACAGAAATATGTTGGTTAGAAAGACAATAGAAATGACGAAATTTTGAATCAGAATGATCTTGCTAATTAAATCACTAGTCTTGTCAAAAAAGGAACAGTTATTAGAATATCAAAGTGAAAAAATATGATTGCTTACTAAATCTAGTATAGGACAATTCAACGCCCTTCATCCACGATCCTACAGGAAACTGAACCTTAAGGTCTAGCGGCGAGTACTTAACCCTTACATTACTGATCAAGTATCTAATGGTTGAAATGTTCAGTTTTAATCAATTTACGGCATTAAGCAACTATTTTCTTCGGCGGGGTAACTGCTTTATACCTGATATGGTTGAACACCACTGTTTACGGTTCCCAGCAAGAACTCTAGTAATTACGTCTGAAAACCAGTCGCCAGTGGGGATATAATTATTATCACTATAGGGGTTTTGGAAACTAACGAAAATGACTGAGATCACGAACCAACCGGAGTTACACAACCATTAGAAACAAGGAAGCTGCTACCCAATGAAGATGGCTGCTCCATATAGCGACCTTATTCAAACCAGACACATTAACCACTGGGTGTCGTTTAGGTGGTTTAGCGGTTAAGCGCCCGTCACGAAGTCAGAAGGCCCTGAGGCTTAATCTTCGGTGGGGTGGTGGACGTGCAGTGTCAAGGAGTACCACACTAGAACGAAATAGCTGTTTAGTGATATGAAATGACTGCTGGGTACAAAACGGTATGAAGTTATTGTTTAAGAAGTTAATCACCAAGAATAAAAATATCTGATAAAAATCAAGCATAAAACATCCTTGCAATTATTTTAATTCACCGAGGAAGAAACAATAAAAAAGACGAATTAATACTACATGGAAATTCAGTATAATTATTTGATTTTCACACAACCGGAGACGAGTTTGGAATTCATTTTATTAGTCAAGGTTTGAGTAGTTGATTGTCCTAAAGCAGACATGGTGTTTTGCTGCTTTTATCAGTGGTTTATTAGAGTTATCAAAGTATATTACCGGAAAATAGCTATCAATATCGATTTATAACAATTAATAAAAACGTAGAAAAAACTAAAAATTATACAGTATGTTATTGGAAGAAAATGATAACCGTCGACATGCAGATGGAGGATACGAAAATTATCATATAAATGCAACTCACTAAGCCAATAAAGAACTATAACCGTGCCTTTAAACTACTTAAGAAGAACATGTTAAAATTACAATCTGTCAACTGAATTCGCAATAGCTGGGAAGGATTTTAGCTAGAGGCTCCTAATAAATAGGTGTAAAATGCCTGTTGTATTTTAAAAGTTCATAAGCTTTTAAGTAAGTGGTTACTTGCATTAATTTGTAGATTATGTTGTAAAAAGGTGGAGGCATTTTTTCTACTGCACGTAGGTGATAAATGAAGAAAGAATGAAACTATCCATATCGTGCACAAATTATCACTGATTGCATAGAGCCAGTAAGTTAGCACCCCAATGTGAAAAACTAGTGGATAATACGACTTTGAACGAAGGTACTTAAATGTGATAAAATAACCATACCTATTTTCTCAAACCCTTTAAGGTTGTATCACATAACCATTTGAGACCGTTAGTTATTCGACCCAAAACACCGGATGATTCCGTTTCCTCCCTACTATCAACCTGATTGTCCGAATGAAAGTCAGACGTTTCTCTCGACTGTGTTTCCGAATTTCGGCCAAACGTGTCTCGCAAATTTTCGTACAATTGGCGAAGACCTAAGAAATATGAGTGATAAATCATTTAGAATGTTTACGAGCAGAAAATCCTACTTGTTGTGACCAATAAACAAACTAGCCTAGATAAAATAAATATAGCCCGTAAGAGTATTTAACGAACAAAGAAATGAAAGAGGTTTTGTTCAATATTGCTATACTTACAGTCGTAAAAACATACGAATGTTAGGATGATGGATTTTAACACACACCGAAGTCATTTTTAAGGATTAATAAACAAGGGATAAAATACATAAATTTACAAGGATGTTATTACTAACTCTAATACAAACGTATATTGGCTATTTTAAATTCACTGATAGCATTAATCTGTACCAACAAAAAAAATGGTAGTTGCCAAAAATATACATACTTTATTTAACGAACCGAATTTAATTGCAGCTCGTAAGACTGAAATTTGAACTAATCATTAAAATACAGATTTTGTGATTTAACGATTTTGTTTCACATGTTTACTCAAAGGGCTACCCAATTGACTTTTAACTGAAATTTAGAGTCAAGAGTGAAATAACCTACTACCTAATGACAAGCCTAGTTAATATGGAATCTGATATCAAAATAGCGAAAATGAAAAAAGGAATATATATATATATATAAACTTTAAGAACACTAATGACTCAATTTTAACCGGGATAACGCCATACAAGTAAGACTGTTCTGTCTAAATAGATAGACCTTTGATATGTTGCCCTAAGTTGCAGAGGGTAAGAAACTCTTTGATCCAAAAATGAAAGTGATGAGTAAAATCATTAAACCAGAGGTTTTTGATTCCAATGATAATGAAAACTGAACTGGCAACTTGAGCCAGTGCAAAATGTTCCTATGACCCGTGTCAGCTATTTCTACAGAATTTAAAAACGAAGTTTTACGCCTCCGATTAATATCAAGAAAATCAAAAGAATCTTTATACTGTCGTCTCAGTTTAAGTTTTTAGTAATCATCTGTAATTATTTTACATCAACAATAGGTTTATAATAAGCAATCAACGTAACTAGTCCACCAGGCACAGGCTTATATAATCAGTTAGGAGTCACAATTTCAATGTCTAAGGTCAAATGATACTACCTGATTACTTAAACTGAAGTAAATGAAGTGTGATTTGAACCTGCAGTTTAATGGTTGAAAGCTGATTGCATGCAGCTTGCATAATGGTCTTTGCAATAGTTTTATCTGACGAGAAATTGATATCCCATGAAATTATTGATTTTCCAAGGCAATCATTTTACACATTTGAAGACTAGGTAATACGAATCTATGTTTAGAGACAAATAACTCTGGCAAATCAAGTTGTATTTCGCGTAATTAATTTATTCTACACCTTAAAACAGTTGGCGTTACTTTTTGTCTCCAGAGATGTTCAACGCGTGAAATTGTGCAACAGCTTTGGTCGGAATGCCGAGATAAGCTATGTATCTATGCACAAAAACATGTCTATCAATGTTCCAAGAAAGTAGTAATCCATGAATAGGCTCTTAATGAAATCAAAGACAGTACGATTAAGAGATGGTTTTATGGACACATCATCTTTAGAGTTACAGAATGATTTCGGAATGTGCTAACGGCTTACAAATAGTGGCAGTCTCATTTATTCGGAGTGGAATACTAGGGAGAGAATCTTGAGAACTGTGAAAGTATTTGTTAGCCTCTCTAACATATGTAAGATAGCTGGGATGTCAGTTTATTCCAAAGTCTAGGTTAAGATATCATTATCTGGTTATATCTTACATGAAATTGGTGTTAATTAGTTGCTTTGTTTGCCAATAATAGAAAGAATGTAAGGGCAACATATAAATATTTTTCCGCAAACAAAGGATGGAACCATTATATATGTGGCAGGGCAAGAGAAAACAAGGATTGCACTTTTTCAGATCAAGATATTACAAAAATTTATGAAACCATCAACTTATATTCTGTGCGTATTTCTGAGTCATGGTCTGAGTAGAAACCTAAGTCAATGCCTAAATACAGTTGATAGAGCTCAAAATCGATCGAGGTAGTGTACGTGCGATGAGGTGGAAAACGCTATAATTATCCACAAACTACAACGTAGTCACAGAAATGGTCCAAGCTAATTAATGTATGTTAGTAACTTAATACATGTTCATGCGCGCGATTGGTCAAGATTTGGTTTCATTATTCGAGGAAGACAGATACGCTATGGATTGAAAATTTGGCTTGATTCCCCGAGGGATACATATCTACATTAATTAGTGAATCTTGATCATGGCTGACCAGTAAAGGTTTCCTCACTCAAATATTTAGTTACATTCACTTATCAAAAGAGTATATGTCAGTTTCAGATATGGACGACTGAGCAACCCAACAGAATTTCATATCCTTATTTAAAAATAAGATCTCGTATAGTCACAGATAATCAAATAGTTCATATGGTAATTTAATAACACAACACCACATGAAATAATTAATTTTAATTTAAACTGGATATTGGCTATTAGGAGTATCATTGTGCTTACCTATTAACGATAATTATAATTCATGAAACTCGAAATTAGACTTCATATTAAATTATTCCCTAAAGTTTATAAAATAATCCTACTCATTGGGATATTACAAAAAATATATTTATTATTTATTCTAAAAAGAATTTGGTTCAAGATGTTCAATAATAACATTACCTTTTAAATTAATATAAAACTTAATAAATGGAAATTAATTTCGTAGCATTTTTTTACAGGATAGATAGTGTTTACCTTTAATGTGACAGTACAATAAATATTTTAGATGTCAACCATCTGAATAAATGATCGCATCAATACTTAACGGATTTAAAATGAATGGTAATTAACCGTGATTTTTCACATAAATTATATAAATAAGTAGTTATATTTTTTAAAATAATTTTGAAAAGATATGTTAACGAAGATTAAAGGATAAATAAACTTTTACTAGTAGTCTTAGGCAGACAAAATAAGTCGATTTCCAGGGAAATGAATTCAGTTCTCTTAGTATGAAACAAAAACAAGATTATAGGAGTTATAAGATTTACAGATTTTTATGGAGAAATTAGGACTTTAAACACCCTAACTGACCATAATATGAAGGCGAACGATAGCATTGAGACAAAAATACATCTAGAGTTTAGTAGATGATACCCTCGTCGGATATATACATATATTAGAAGTGAAATTAGTGTCTATAAAATAAAGCAACCCATAGAACTCAAAAACGAAAGAAACTTAACATCTCACCAGTAAACAACAGTTTGGAAGCTGTGCATTATATCGTTTTTATGATAAACGAATGCATAAAGAATAATTCTGGTTTACCGAAATATAACTTGAAGGTAATGAAATGGATAGACATCAGTAACCAAAGTGTCACGAAGCATATAATTAATGACGCTCGGTCAAATCAAAAATGGTGTTGAAAACAATAAGTATTATATTACGGGAAGTATTCAACGATTATGACATATTAAAAATTAGGTTTGAAATAACAATGAAATTCATGATCAACTTGAAGGATATGGGATGTAATTCTAACGAATTTAATGATTACAAATCAAATACACAATGTTTTTACATGAAAGTTAGTAATACAATGTAAAAATTCACTGACAAGACTTACTCACATGGCTACGCGTATATAGCCTCTGCCAGGGAAGTCCTACTCACTGCCTTCTCGTGGCATTACTGTTGTTTACAAAATCGGGAGGACGAAAATCGATTGTCCGGAACTTTAACCGGGTTAGTGGACAGAGAAAGTCCACCTAGGGGAGTTGAAAAACGCTGATTTCAAACCAATGGTGCATATGGGCTCCAGTATCCTGAGGGAACAAACGGCGTATGGATCAATCGTTGGTCACCGGCTACCATGAGACTGCATCTCCTTACGATGCTCCACTGCCTTGTGGATCAGACCTTTAGGTCAAAGGCTCCGGATGCGGCCCCCTAAGAAAACCGCTTGCTTCAGTTTGGGCACCTGGGCAGTATCACAGCCCTCACACAAATCAAATGAGATTTGTGTGGCGCATATGAATCTGGTGCCCCCTTGTACCAATATTTATGTTTATATAAATAAATAATAAACTTGTTTAATCTTGGCTTGCAAAAGTGCAACAGAGTTTCAACACTAACTAAAAGCATACATGCATAGCATAATGAAGTGTAATTTAAATCACACAACTCACGTTTGTCGGTCGACGTTACGCCTTCAACTGAACCAGTCACGTTATTTTCTGTCTCGGCATAGGCTAGGAGAAGGGCGCGTTGAAGATCCGTTAGTTTCCTACAAGAATCGATACATATAAAATCATAAACGTCAATATGCCCAAACTAAATTATGTTGGGATATGTGTGTAGAATGTTTTGCATCACAAACTACTGTTTAATGGACATTTCATCTGTGCATACTAATGTACACTTATAGCTATAATTTAATAAAACTAAAGTGAAAATATCAAGGAAATAAACAAGAACGAATATGGTACAAATCAACTGAACTACCATTTACATATGGAAACTTGAACTTCAGACATTTAAAAACTACCTGGTTTTCGTATCAGACAATAAAAGTCGAGAACAAATTCAAGACAAGTGACGAGTAGATGAGTTTTAAAAATGTTATCAGTAATATGAATTTTATGAAGCAAATGTTATATGTAATTTAAGATTTCCTAAATGGAAAATCTGAAAAAGAAAGCCTAATTTATTTCGACTTTAAATTAAATAATACTTTTATTTTGGTAACAAAAATTTATGCCACGTCTTTCACATAACCATTGAATACATCAAACATTTATCTACTGATGAATGAACACTTTATCTGCCAATAGGATATGACAGAGTAACAGTAATAAACACGACTGAATAACATACTGAAAAAGTTGATTAACTTAAAAAAATATATCAACAGTACGCTTTATTATCCCTAAAATTATTTTTTCTTAAAATTTTAAACCAGAAATAATAACAGACAAGTGAATTATTGTTGAAAATCTAACAACCCAAACGATAATTTTATTTAATAACAGCTATAGAAAATGATAGCTAAGAAAATATTTCACTTCAGTATTTCGTTAGTGAGAAATAGAGCGAATATAACATTTTGTAATTGAATCAGAAATCACATTGTTGATTAGTACATGGTGTACACCAATTGCATCCAGTAAGTTCAACTAAGTCAAACATAAATGACACAGAGTTTAGTGTAATCGAAGTCGCTTTTGAGTACTCTTTTTTTACCGCAGATCATTTAATTGGATAGTTCCTTACTGAAAAAAATTTGATTTGTATTCTTATTTGTATAGAATTGTTATGAAGACGGTTGAATCCGTGATGTAAATTGAGAATTCAACGATCTACCACCAATCGCAATGGTTGATGGTTACCTAATATCGTGAGGTGACTGCAGTTAGAAATCTGAACCACTGAATGTGAACTCAGTGGTTTTGAAGTAAAACGCTTACTACGAGGCCAGAAGGTCATGGGTTCGATCCCTGGTACATCGTTGGATCAAGACTGTCGAGGAGTTCCTTAATAAGACGAAACAACTACACAGTGCTTACTGGTTTTCAGTGATTGGTTGAACAAAGTATGTGACATAAAATATTAATTTATCCTTACGTGACTCATCATGATTTCCATAAAAAAGTTGCGTCGTTTTATGATAAAACAACGCATAACTAATTGTTAATCGTTTTAGTTTACTTCCTGTGAAGTAGTGATTATTTATGTAATAGTTTGGAACTTACTTAGGAGCTTGAATATGAATATGTATATAATGATCCCCATATCCATATCCATTGATCCGACTAATCCCTTTACCTGGCAATCGAATCCTATCATCACTGCAAGATCCAGCCGGAATCTAAAAATGAATATGAAGATGACCGGATTATTATTACCAAATATGGTTCAGAAGTGCGTGCAGTGACGACTGAGCTAGATTTTACTTATACTGTGTGAAATCGTGAATTTATCGCTCTTAGTTGCATAATTGAGGTCAACCGGTCAGTTAAACGCAACGTCAAATCTGGTACGTATATACATAGGTTCGAACTGCCATAACGCATTAGCACAGCGAGATGAAATTGTTAGTGAAAACTTCAGAGTAGTAGAGGTAGTAAAAGTATTAATAGTAATATAAAAATTAAACGTTGAAAATACAATTCAAATAAATACAAATTAGTGGAATGAAAAGATTATGAGAAATTTATGAACTTAGGACCTAAGGGAAAATATAAATTGGTGAAATAAAGAAAATTATGAGGAATCCGGGAGCATGGAATTAAGGGAAAAACAAAGATTGGATGCATCAACGCCATTGAAAAAGATTTTGAGTTGTGTCACTCAAAGTCTTTAACTAATGGTTACGATAATCACACAACTAAAATAAGAAAACCGACAGTAGTCAGTCAGCTACGACGTATGACCAGGCACATATATGCATCTGTCCAAGTTGCCATACCTTATTAGCACAACAAGATGAATACCAAATTCATAGAAGTAGTTAATTTAGTGGTGGTAATATATAAAAGGAAGGTTGTATATAAGGATATAGTACAGGAAGAAAGACATATGAAGCAATTTTAATCTTACAGTAGTGGGAAACTAAAAATATGAAAGATACGCGTTTGTACGGTTTGGGACTTGTTAACTGGATGTGTCTGCGTCTCGCAGTTGATGTTTACTCCAGGATTCTAACCAAGTCTCTTTCGCTTAAAAAGTCAATGAATTATTCACTTAGCTACTGAGTCCAGATAACTATTCATATAGTCACAGTTCATATATTCTTTACAAACATGTGAGATAATTAGTACATTGAAGCAACCCGCGTAGGATGCATATATCTCGACTGGGACTGGTCAAAATTCAGTCACAATATTACGATACAGTTATCCAGTATTGTGACACACTTCCGGATATCATATTGTGACAAAAATATACACTATGCTAAAGTCCTCATAAAGACACATTTATGTTATAAGTTTGGAAAGAAATTCCATTTCATGGCGTCAGATAAACGAGGATGAACAGAATAGTAAACAAGGTATTTTAGATATTATAAATTACTTACAGTTATAAGCATATTTTCATAAATTCCCTGTACCCGCATTTTGCCACCTAAAGCAGCTTGGGAAAGTGAAACAGTGATGTCTGAGTGTATGTCCGCACCTTCACGACGAAAATGTCGGCTTTTCTCCACACGAATTTGCAGAAATATTTCGTTATTACGCAGACCGTCGTTACCAACGGACATTCGCAAAACCTGACCATCTTCTACCCCTAGAGACATGAATGGAAAAGATGAGTGAATTAAAACAACTGAAGGTTAACTTAAAAGCTTTAAACCAATATGGGCTGATTTCAAAGAAGGAACAAATCAGAAGGGGTTTTGTGAAGATTTCAGTATTTTCATAGTTGAAATCATGAGTCAAATGAAGCTAGACCACCAAGGAAAACCAAAAAGCACAGCTAGGTCCCCCGACCGTTGCTGCTACCTCGACGTGGTGGTCGGGCTTGCCTATCGTGATGAAGCAATCGAGCTATGCTGGCTGGAACAATCGTTCCTCGAGGTCCTACCATGCCAGACAGGTCGTTTGAAGAGCGGTGAGACTAAAAGCAGCAAACCCAAGGTCCGAAGGCGAAGTCGTACTGTCGACTGTACAGAGGTGTGACGGCAGTAAGGTGTTTCCTTCAGACAACCAGCATGACAGCGATGCTGCCTTCCCACAAGGAGGGGTGGGGTTAGAAAAGGTCGGCCCTAAAAATGCACACCTCGCCTTATCCCACGGATATCCGTCTCCGGCGGTAAGGTTTTTTTGAAGAACGGAGCTAACACAAAAACTACCCACAAAAAGGTCGTGTGTGACCGACCTCAAGCAGTTGTCCCTTGGGCACTGCGGTCACGCTCTCAGGTCATTAAGACCACTTCTAACCCTATTTCCTTTTCAGGTACCCCCAGGAGAACCATTCCACGGTGTGGGCAACCGGGAAGTAATAACTGCCCTCATACCCCTAACAGCACTCAAGACCACCGTATTCATAATCAATCTCCTTCTTCAATTCCCACTATTCCTTCTACCTTGACTTTCAACACTAAACTTCCTCTTCCGGTTTCCTCAGCAAGTGTCACCATGGCCAACGATTCTAGAGCGCGAAACGCTGTCCCAGGTCTACTAAAACCTCGCTCCAAACTACACATTGGAGCCTTCAACGTACGTACCCTATGCCAAATCGGTCAACAGGCCTCCTTAGCTAAAACCCTAGAATCTCGTACCATTGATGTATGCTGTGTCTCCGAATCACGCATACAGGATCCCAGTGTGGTCATTCACTTGACCTCACCTCGCCAAAATGGACAGCCAACGAAATACACCCTCCGTGTATCTGGCGACCCGTTGGCTAGTTCTCACGGACTTGCGGGTGTAGGCATAGCACTAAGTACAAAGGCAGAACAGGCACTATTAGAATGGATCCCCGTTAACAGTCGCCTGTGTGCTGTCCGGCTAAATGGCTCCGTAAGAACTCGGAATGATAGGGACACACGTCGTTGCCTTTTCGTCGTTTCTGCCTACGCTCCTACCGACTGCAACCATGATGAAGTGAAAGATGACTTTTACAGAAAGCTCTCTGAGCTTCTTCAGAAAGCTAAGCGCTCAGACATAGTAGTCGTAGCGGGTGACTTTAATGCCCAGGTAGGCAGCTTGAATCAAACAGAAAGACATTTAGGTGGGTATTTTAGAATTCCGGCTCAACGAACCGATAATGGTGATCGTCTGTTGCAATTATGCTCAGACAATCGTTTATTTCTAGCAAGCACTAATTTTAAACATAAGGAGAGACATCGTCTAACATGGCGACCACCTGCACCATACCAACGATGGACTCAAATAGACCATATTGTCATCAGTCATCGTTGGAGAGGCTCAATAGAAGATTGTCGCTCGTATTGGAATACTTGTTTAGACTCTGATCACGCTTTAATACGAGCGCGCATTTGCCTGCGCCTCAATGGACGCAGGAAAAGTACACTAAGAAGACCCATTAGGATTGAACTGGAGGATGAGAAAGCCAAATGCGAATTCCAGAAACAACTAAGTTCACATCTAGGCAGTTCTGTAAACAAGACTGACCCAGATGCTGCTTGGAAAGACATGCGAACAGCTGTGGAAACAGCAGTCACATCTATTAGTTATTTAAACCATAGGGCTCCAAAAAACCAGTGGATTTCTTCTAAGTCTATTTCACTGATGGATTCGCGTAAACTCATCCCATCAGGCTCTGAACATGACGAAGAGCGTAAAGAAATTAGATATAGGTTAACTAAAAGTCTAAAGAATGATCGTGAGCAGTGGTGGGCAACGAAAGCAAAAGAGATGGAAAAGGCAGCGGCTGTAGGGAACACCAGGCAACTATTCAGACTAATAAAAGAAACCGGAATTAAGAAGTCAAGTGTAAGTGAGACAATCTCGGAAAAAGACGGAACCTTTATCTGCTCTCAACCCAAACGTTTAGAACGATGGGCGGAACACTTTAAGGAGCAGTTTAGCTGGCCTTCAGCTACTGCACAACTACCCACTATTCCTAGAAAACCTGAATGGAACATTGAAGTAGGCCCCCCGACCCTACTTGAAGTTCAAAAGGCTATAGGTAATCTGAAACGAGGAAGAGCAGCTGGTCCAGATGTCTTTAAATATGGTGGTCCGATTTTAGCGATTAGGTTGACTAATATTCTGGCTAAAATCTGGGAGACGGATGTAATCCCATCCGACTGGTCACAATCTCTGATTGTCCCAATATATAAAAAGGGGTCAAAATCATCCTGCGATAACCATAAAGGGATTAGTCTGACCTGTTATGACTCGTAAGTTGAACGTTTTATTAGGATCCTAGCTATTCGGATAACCCCAGGCTAGCACTACTCAGCGACTTGGAAGACCAGAGAGAAGACACGAGTATCAGAGAAGCACTTTACTACAAGGTTCAATTATGTACAGAAAAACAGGGGTTTTATAGTAGCTAAAAGACCTTGAGATCCCATAGTAACAGTATGTTAACAGCCAATCAGGACCTTGTTATTTTAGTAGCATTTTAGTAGCATAGCTTCTAACTAATCGCTGATTGGTTGGTCTCTTTATGAGCATCTCTGGAGGCTCTGATAGAGTTTATTGTAAGCCGATCTAACACCTCCCTTTTTTTGAAGATTCGAAAATTAGATTCTGATTTTTTTTTAAAATTATCTGTAAGTTGAAATTCTCCAACATTTCCTCCCCCACGAAATAATGTTGGATCTTCATATCTCCAAAATACAATAAGTATGACATATTTCTCGTATTGAACGCAGAATCTACTAGAAATGAATAGATGATGATGAACGATATTTGATTTTAGGTTATCGGAATTCAGCTTTTCTAAAATATCTCCATCAAATTCATTAAAATTTTCACTAGAGGATATTAGATAACTAGGAGAATCGGCATCTAATAAATTCGCATTAGATTTTTGATCACCATCTGATTCGACCGACTTAGTTTTCTCATCTTTATACGAAATTTCATCAGAATTATGGGCATCATTACGCGAACCCATATTATAGGCTTCTGTCTCCCCATGATTTCGAATCACATTTGGCGCAATTTGGTTAACTGTACTGTTCCAGTTATTTTCTGGACATTCGTTCTTCCATTTTTCTTGGCCAACATCACGCAAACTGTAGTTCTGTTCTGACTTAAGTTTGTCTTCAGATATAGGCGGACTTAATGGTGTTTCATTTGATTCTGGACTCCTGGGGTTGTCTGCGGAACCTTCTTTTTCTTGCTCATCTGATACTGTCACAGTTTCATGTGCATTAGGCAAGATATTGTCTTGCTCTGAACCGGCCAACTTACCAATTTTGCATTTTCCGTCAGATATAAAGGGAATTGAACCCTCAACTTGGCGTTCTTCTGAGACGGCCATTTCCGCACCATTATCTGCATTATAAATAAATTCTTTATTTCCTGAGACGTTTTGTTTAGTGAAAAATTTGTCCAAAAATGTTTCAAATAGTTTCTGCTGGAAGCTTAACATCTGCTGATGCTGGTGCTCTAATATTATCTGCAACTGTTCCAGAGAAATCGTCATTTTTTTACTGCTAATAATAACTCCAAAACCCGCCGGCAATTATTACAGCTTATTTAATTCCAAAATACGTTACCGACTGCTGTATTTTTTTCCAGAATCCCCGTCGCCAATTGTTATGACTCGTAAGTTGAACGTTTTATTCGGATCCTAGCTATTCGGATAACCCCAGGCTAGCACTACTCAGCGACTTGGAAGACCAGAGAGAAGACACGAGTATCAGAGAAGCACTTTACTACAAGGTTCAATTATGTACAGAAAAACAGGGGTTTTATAGTAGCTAAAAGACCTTGAGATCCCATAGTAACAGTATGTTAACAGCCAATCAGGACCTTGTTATTTTAGTAGCATTTTAGTAGCATAGCTTCTAACTAATTGCTGATCGGTTGGTCTCTTTATGAGCCTCTCTGGAGGCTCTGATAGAGTTTATTGTAAGCCGATCTAACATGACCAACATAGCATCTAAAATACTAGCCTCAATAATTATCAGGCGCCTAAGACTCGTGAACTGCAAACACGAGAAAATCTGGCTGGCTTCAGACCTGGTCGTGGCTGTATCGACCACATATTCACCATTCGTCAAGTCTTAGAGCACAGACACGCTTATCGGCGTCCGACAATGATAGTTTTCCTTGACTTAAAAACAGCATTTGACTCTGTAGACCGAGAGGTTCTGTGGCAATGTCTGTCACTGAAAGGTGTACCTGAGAAGTACATAAACCTTGTGAAGGCTCTTTACTCGAACACTATCAGTCGAGTGAGAGCTTATGGCGAACTGTCATATGATTTTACAACCCCAAGTGGTGTCCGACAAGGCTGTCAACTATCCCCATTTTTGTTTAACTTCATTATAGACCTGTTGCTGGATATAACACTCTCTTCGACTGAATTTACAGGAATTGATCTCCTACCAGGGGGACCACTAATCGACTTAGAATACGCAGATGACATAGTCCTGTTTGGTGAAGACGCTGGCAAAATGCAGAGTCTTCTGTTGGAACTCAGTAATAATGCTAGGATGTTTGGGATGCGTTTCACCCCATCTAAATGTAAATTGTTACTCCAGGACTGGCCTACGTCAACACCTGAACTAAGGATAGGGAGTGAAGTAGTCGAACGCGTTGACAACTTCACTTATCTTGGAAGTCTGATCAGCCCTAATG